TTATATTTATTTTTTTTATTTATAAATGTATTTATCATATGCTGGATTACTTATTCGTATTTGTGGTTTTTCCAAATCATCCAAATCAGCTGTGTTTAACATCTATATTACGTGGTAGGAATATATAATATGTAAGCCAAAGAGAATAACAAAAAGTATTAAAAAGAATATATCTTATATCGTATTTTTAAGAATGAAAAAATATTATTAAAAGTGGCTTCATGCTCAGTTTGGTTTATTTTTCTATATACATGACATTTAGAAATTTAAATTAAATATTTAATGTCGTAATTAATGTAACTTGCCATATATGTTAGAGCCATATTGGTACTACAAAAATGGGAATACGGTTTAAAAGTGCAAACTGGTATTTAGCATTTGCGTTCGTATACGAATATTCTTGATATGTCCCTTTTTTGACTGTTGCGTATGTCCATAATTCGGGTTTTATGTGTAATATATTGATTTCTATTTTTCATCAAATTTTTATTTTATATTTACAATGAAGTGTTAGCACTTATTGTGTGAGGATTTTTTAATTTTCTTGTATTTTATATTAAAATCCAAGTTTAAAAGTTCCAACAACCTCTTCCACAAATTCTAATCGTTTGTAGGGCACTTAACGCTACATCGCGTTTACCTGCCTTTTGATTTGATACGAGTAACATGTTTAATATATATGTATATGCTGGCATATATTGGAGAATAAATACAGTTATTTGAAGTTTAAGTCATTATATCAGACTCTTTTCAGTTAGCCCGTTTCTATGCCAATTTAGTAACTCTGTCTGAAATAATATGACTATGAGCATAGCATAAATACATATTAGCAATAAGTCAAATTAATATGTACCAGATATGTTGTTTTTGAAAAAATTAAAGAACGACTATGTCGTAGGGTGCTGAAATTTCCAGAAATATAAATTCAGAATATATGCTGTTAATTCCTCAGTTGTAGGAATAACTACTTTAACACATGTTTCAGCGTTTATTGAATTTCTATAAATATATAATCTATATTTGCATAATCTTTGGCAGGTTACGGTTTTCCATTACAACACATGTTCCCAATGATGTACAGCCGTACTTTTTTAATTTAGACACTGAAGAGCAAACGTTTTTTAGGCACAGATGTTGATGATAGCTTTTTGTCCAAAAATCATTAAGTGTGGTAAGCTTGTAAGTTAAGTACCTCAATTATATATTTATATAAAATTTAACGACCTAATTCTGGAAGAATTAGAACTGATAAGTACAACTACTTGGGATGCCAGCTTAATGAGCAATGAGATAATAGTGAAGAAATACGTGTCCGAATTGAATAAGCAAGGTCTTATTTTATCAAGATGAAAAACTTGCTGTGTACACGAGAGCTGTCATTACCGCTCAGAATAAGAATGCTGCGATGCTATATATTCTCTATATTCCTCTACAGGGCAGAGACGTGGACGCTGTCTGTTGCATCGATGAATAAACTCGAGCCTTTTGAAATGTGGTGCTATCTACGTATGCTGAAAATAAGCTGGACAGAAAAAATTACAAATACGGTGGTACTTCGGCATGTCAACAAAGAGACAGAAATATTAGAGACAGTAAAACGCCGTAAGTTAGAGTTTTCTGGTCATATTCTGAGGCATCCGGAAAAATACGGATTACTGAAATTAATCATTGAAGGCAGAATTGAAGGCAGACGTGGCCCTAGAAGACGAAAAATATCATGGCTGAAGAATTTACGTCAATGGTTTAATAAAAGCACAAGATCGCTTTTTCGGGAGGCTGTAGATAAAGTCAAAATAGCAATCATGTTAGCCAACGTTCGAAGCGGACAAGGCACCTAGAAGAAGAAGAGTATAAAATTCGTTACAATCGATTCATAGCTGACCCAGTATATTCTTTCTTTACACAGCTGTATCCGGAATTCACACTTTAAGTGCAGTTAATATATAAATTGCTATGTATATAAAGTCGGTTTTGTTTTTTAAGAATTTTAGCTTTTATTCCGATCGTTATTTTTAGTATATTTCTATACGTATTTCGGCAAATTCACTTTTGCCTTTATAAGAAGAATTCATAATATTAAAAACATCTATGCAATTTACAAAATATTTGTATTTATTACAGATCTATATTTAATTTTAATTAGTAGGGTTATTGTTTTTGTGCTTGAGGGTGTAGGTAAAAAATGGTGGCGGGATGGGTCTGATTTTGTTATTTAGACATGATTATGCTTAGGTAGTTCGGGCAAATGGTTGGATTTGTTTTTTAGAATGTATTTAAGAAGTCATGATGATACGACGCCTAATAATGAAAATAGGAATATTTATCACCAAAAATTGTTTTATTGTTTTTCAAAGTATTCTCCAGCCTGATTTATACACTTTTGCATGCGCTCAAACCAATTGTCGAAGCACTTTTTCCAATCCGATTGAGACACCTCCAAAACATGATTTTTGAACGCTTCAACAGCATCTTCCGGCGACGAAAATCGTTGACCACGTATTTTTTTCTAGATGTGCGGGTCAACGGGAATAAAAGAAGTCATTGGGTGCCAAGTCAGGGCTGTACGGCGCTGGTTTGACCCAATGTGTGAGAGCTCGCGTAGTCATAGTTAACGATGATTCGTCTTCTCTTGTTCATTTTTCGAATTTCTCCGAAGACTTCAGGCAAACAAATTGTGATGTACCACTCAGAAGTGACCGTCCTTCGTTGCTCAAGCAGAACAGTCGTCACATGACAAGTTTGTCGAAGAAATAGGCGACCATTTGCTTCAAAGTACTTCTTCCACGAACAACTTTTGTTGAATTTGGCTCGTCTTCGAATACCCACACGGTCGATTGTTGTTTTGTTTCGGGCTCATACCCATAGAGGTCTTTTGAAGCTCCACGATCGTATTTTTTAACATTTCTTTGCACCAATTGACACGAGCCTTTTTTTGAGCTATTGTTAAATTGTGCGGGATCCAACGAGAACAAACCTTTTTTACGGCTAGGTGTTCATGCAATATCGAATGAATACTGATGGGAGAAATGCCCAAGGATGCCTCTATCTCACGGTATGTCACATGACGATCTTGCATTATCAGTTCACGCACGGCATCAATGTTCTCTGATACAACGGCCGTTTTTGGACGACCTTTACGGAATTCATCGTTGAGCAAGCAATTTTTTGGTCGAGATGAATTTCTCAAGTCTCTGTAAATAAAACAATTCACAATTAAATGACAACACGTTATGAGTAATGTTATGCTAAAAAATGTCAACCTTTCCAATGGAAATGTCAGATTGCACCTGGGAACACTTAGTGTTGCCTCGGTCAGAAATATATATAGTAGCCCTCGTACGTTGCAGTTATCGCTATTGAATAAACGTGTAGCCTGATGATTGTATGTTTCGATGCTCTCTGCTGTTTCTAATTTTCAGTTATCTCTTATGGTTTTGATTATTTGGGCGTTATCTCTGTCGATGTGGTAGTTTTCTATTATTATATGTGTGGCGATATTTTATGTGAGGGTTTAGTTTTTTCGATTCTTTTCTTGATTCCTTCAGGTGTTATTCAAGGCTTACTGATAAGTGTCTTTTTATTTGTCAGATGTATATTTTGTTGGAGAAGCCACAGGGTCAATTAGATCTTTTGTAGATATTATTTAGATTTATATGATTCTTATATTCTTATTATATTTAGATAATATGATTCTTTTGTTTTTATGTCCAACTCGGATCTTAATGATTGGATTGAGTCTTGCATCAAATCTATTTCCAGTTTTTGTAATATAGTTGAAGATATTTTCTTGTATTCAATTGATATTTTGTGTCTGACAGGGGTGATATTTTCTTTGCTACATTTCTTTAGAAAAGCGATATCTTTGTTCAGTTTCGCTATTGATGTTTTTAGTTTTTAGAATTTTTTTGACTCGATTGCCATGTTGAGCTTTTGTGTATATTTGTACTTAATATTTGAGTTCTAACGTCTTTTGTCAAATTGAAAAAATTATGGATATATGAGTACTAAATAAACAATTAATTTTGATCAATGACCTGTAATTTTGTTCCAATTTCTCTATGCCCTTGTATTTTAGTTCTGCTCCATCTTAGACTTCGACTATATACAGTATTCAGTAATGCTAACATTTCACCTGCGCAATTGTTTTCCATGCTGATTATTTTTACACCTCCGAAATACCCCTAGTATTGTTTATTTTAATGTGCAGGGCTGTCCAAAGCATAGTTCACGGGCCACATCCTGCCCACGACATGTTTTTAATCTGCCTCAATTAAGCAAATTTTCCTTTGAAATATATTTTCGTAAAATTACATTATTTTATTTTTATGGTATCTCAAAAAAGTTAATTCAAATGAATAATTAATAAAATCAATTTGAAATTATCATGGGTGGGTTGATACGTTAAGTATTTATTAAGTATTTCGACTTTTGGAAATGAATGTTGCTCATATAATTAAACAGATAAGCTGCTTGAGAATGATAAGGGTTTCAGAGTGATGGTTTTCAGATTAATACTGTTAATATTCTATGTAAAAGAGATGTATAATGAGAATAGGTGTTATAAAAATTATACAAAAAACTTCAGGGAAGCAATTCTATCCTAATAATTTTGTCTGCTTATCCATTTACACATTTCCTTAATTATTTTCATTTATAATGAAAACAATGACGTATTTAGAAGTTTTCTGACTCACAGCTAGAAGCAAGTCATTCAACTCAGACCTCATACTAATTGGTAATCCTGTGTAGAACTTTCATTTTACAAAAGCAATAAGGCAGTCGCTTCATCTGTATTCGTTCGACAATATATGATTTCATTATCCATACAATATACATTGTTCCAAAACTGCTTTAACTAATTTCTAATCCAGTATGTTTAAAAAAATGTTCCTATAATTTATTTCTTGAAATCCAATGAAAAATATTTTTTTAATTTAGTTGTAAAGTTTTTAAGAAGAAGCAAAATCAAGTTTTCAGCAAATTCAATTTATTGTTTATTTCTAAAAGACATTGTTTCTTATTTATAGAGTGTATACTCGTATATTTATATGTATATATGTGCCTTCAACAGAATTCGTATTTATTTAATGTTCTTAAGGTTTAATTCTTTGTCAAACAAGAATTCACTTAATGATTCAGAACCCATCTTTTCAAGTTGGCTCAATTTTCCAGCTATATCTCGTATGCTATGTAAGTGCTCTTCAAGATAAACGTTGGTCAACCAGCCAACAATGTTACTCTTTTTATTATCTGTTTCACAAGATTTAATTAATTCGCGAATAGATTGAGTCATTTTTTCTTCTAACTCCAGAGCTATTGTAAAGACATCAAATCCATTTCCGATCCGATCAGTTTTATACTGTACACAAATTAATTAGTTTGTAAAAATATACAATATAAACAATGCTTTTCAACTTACTAGCTTGCCCATAAGAGGTGAAATTTTATTCAAATGGTTACTTATAAATAGATATTTAAATAATTTCTTAGCATGTTCTCGTTCTGTCTTAGCAGCCTTAAAAAAGAAATCAGCAAAACCAGGACGATTAACCACATCTTGCGCACAATATGCTCCAAGAGATAAGTATATATATGAAGCATCTATTTCCATGCCAAATTGTCGTATAGTGTTTTCATAACATAATGAATGTTCATCTCGGTCAATCCCCTTCGCAAATGTCGAAAATTCGTCAAATTTATGAACTGAGCCTGTATGTGAAATGAATTTTATTATTAGAAATTATTAAAAAGTTTGAATTAAATTTATTATTAAGTATTGTATACTTAATTTATATATATATTTAATTTGCTCCTCTCATTATATTTTATTTCATTGAATTAATAGATAACATTACAGGATGTATAAGACATTACTTACATAGGTTTTCTGCATAGGACGAAATCGAAAGAAGGAGTAATCCAACAAGTATTTTCATCATTTTGACCAACTGTATTTAATTATTAATATTAATTCAAGTCGTTGCAATTTACAAATATATTTGATGTTTGAAAACAGGTAGTGTTTACAGTTCTGTAAATTTCAAATAAATAAATTCAATATTATAGCTTGTAATAGTAACATTTATCGATATGTTAACTTTTTTCAAACTGTCGAAGCCTTTACTATTATAATTTTATCACTGTTTGTCACAACTCTCCTTATTGCCTTTTAAATTAAGACTGACTGTTTTCAATTTCGCGAGAACACTTTTAAACTGTGTGCAATTGCGTCTGTGTTATCTTGCCAATGTAAGCTTCTACATAAAAACTCAACCACTTATCAGTTTGATAATGAACTGTTTTTTTTTTCAACTTATTCTCAGGACTCTATAAAGCGGGTATTACACTTCAGATTTGGTTGTACAACTTATTTGATGTCGTTTACTATTTTTGTTTTTGTGTTTACAGTAGGTCGAAAGCATCAAAAGTCACCGTGTGCGATTTGAACACACTAAAACCACCTCTCAGGAATGTATAGAGATCCGAGGTTGAGAGTCTCGTTCCAGAATACAGAGAAAAAATAAAGTAAATGATCAAAAGGCTTACCATTTATGAAGTAAATATATCTAAGCCATAAAGAAAAATTGTCTACGGGTTTATGAGGAGTGGGCAATGACGTCCAAATGGAGTACCAGAATGTGGGGAGGGTTGTTACTCATAGAGAGTAGTAGATCAGAGGGCAGGTGATCAGTGTGTAGTATGTTGACTGGAAGGTTGCGGCAACTGGTGTAGTATCGAGGAGCTAGGGATCACAAAATATTATCTAACCGCTCAATATTGACAGCATTTTAGACAAAAGTATTGGGGTACTGTTACTTATCACGTTTGCATCTGTAGTTCATACAGTTGAAAACGTGATGAAGAAGATTTAATATTTTAATTCTTCTTAAATATTTTTAAACATTTTCTTTTAATTTTATCTTAAATTTAGATATAATTCATTCAGAGCAGCAAAGGAATGAACCCTTTCGTGTTTTTTTTTATTATATTGTCTGCTAAGACGCTTCGGCGAAAAAGGTGTTTGAAGCAGTAGTCGGCGGAAGAAGACGTAGAGGTAGACCGTGTCTCCGGTGGAGTGATCAAGTTGAGGGAGCACTAACTGGACTTGATATACGAGACTGGAGAAGGCGCGCATGCAGCAGAGGCGCTTGGGGAGACATGCTGCGTCAGGCCGAAACTCGGTAACGGGTTGTTATGGCCACATAAGTAAGTAAGCTAACGATATTACTTGCGAAAAAAAACGTTGTTTTCGCTTCCATCCCATAAAATAGAATGAAATTTTGCATGTAAGCCGACAAAAAACCGATTGTAAACGAAAAAACACGAGCAATTTTGACGAAAAACCAAAATATTCTGAATTCCATTCAATTCGTTGTCAACACTGCAAATATTGCAATTACATATCAGATGTGGCACAAATTTCGCATTTCAACAGATAAGTTGTACGACCAAATCTGATGTGTAATACACACTTAACGTATAGATCACGCTTTTATAGATCTTATGTAGCATGAAAGTGACAATATAATTAAATAATTATCAGAAGGCAGCCTTATTTCTTGCTAAGAGAGAGAGCTGCTGCAGTAAGTGCACAGAACGATTGCACAAGTAAGCAACACATCGCAGTCAATTAATAAAAACGACGAGCAGAAGTTGAAATGAAAACAGTCTTAATTTCGTCTTTACTAAAGGAAAAGCATTGATACCTTCTATATCAGTGTGTTAAAAGAAACAAAGTGAATTTATTAAAATCAAGGATTCTAGCGATTTACAAACTCTGAATATAAGTGAAAGCTGTAAAAACATCATTAAAAATTTGTAAGTTATTCGTTGCGTATATACATACATATTTCGAACAAAACATTTTTGATGTTTTACAACATTTTTCAAATGTCTAAAATGGTATATAGAATTATTATCCAAAATTTGTTTTACAGCACAAATTGAATCTGAAAAAATGCAGATGTTTGCCACCATTTTGGTATTCTGTCTATGCGCTTATGTGTACGCAAACAGTCATGAACCGGAGGGGAACTGCTTTATTTCTTTAGAAAAAACATGCTCCGGAAAATTGCCTATATGTAAGTGTACGAAAGCGTGTTGATTTCTTTGTTAAATTATTAAATCTTTATTTCTTCAGACCCCAACATGGTTAAAAATTGCAATGCGTCGTTAACTAATTACACTACAACGCAGGTATATGATTATGTCGGGGACTTGCTTTATAGTTCATATGTGTACCTATACATGACTACAAGTTTCCGTGCACAAAATTATCGTCCTGGATTCCAGAAGCTATACCAAGAACTATCAGATAAGCATTTTGACGAGGCAATTGATTTAATAAAACATATTACTGAAAGAGGTGGTTCTATCAATATTATGAAGTTGAATGCAATAACTAAAAATTATAACGAATATCATAAAGATGATGAACTGCTTTCTTTGGGTTTTGCATTGGACATAGAAAAGGAACTGTTTAAGGAGGCTGCAGATATTCACAATGGCGGTGAAGTTAAGTTTCACACTTTTTATAAATCAGTTGATCCGGAAATTGCTCATTACTTTGGAGAAAAATTCTTGGGTTCTCAAGCAGAAACTGTGCGTAAATTATCTGGTTATGTAAATGATTTATTTCAAATAATGCATAACGGAGACAAGAAAGAGCTGGGCGTTTATATGTTTGATGAGTATTTGCAAAAGCAGTAAATTCATTTTTAAAAATTGAGCTACTGTGTTCCAAATTTTTTATATTTAATAAATTTTATGTAGATACAATTCGGTGATTATTAATAAACTTATTTTGACTACAATTAAAATGTTAAAATGTTTGATTTAAAATCTTTTATAGTAATTACCATCATATGATTTTATATTATAGAAACGTATTTTGAAAACAATAGAAAATGAAAACAAATACTAAATTTAATTTTTAAAGTCAATTATAATGAAAGAAAACCATTTAACTAATAGAAAAGCCCTTCCATGAAAACGAATACTTTTTTTTGTTGATTGAAGATTTTAAATTGAATTTTGATTACATTAAAAAAATTGAATTAGTTAAACCAATAATATTAGCAAGATGGTTCAACAAACAAAAAAGGTTTACATTAACTGAGATTAACTGAGATTTATTAAGCTTTGTGTTTTATACTCAGTATCAGAAAAGCCATTTTTTTTTTCAAATACCATTACTTTTCAGTGCTTCAACTAAACATTATCCAAAAAGGGTCTTCGGGGTAAGTTAAATATTAAAGTATTGTTTTCTCAATAATCTGCGTAAGGTGCGTAAAATGTCATGATACTAAATACTAAATGCAAGAAATGCCGAAGTATCAGAAATAATCAAATTTCAGAATCTGTTCTGTCCAGGTTTTCTGAATTTCATTTGTTTTAAAAATCGCCGGTTATATGAATGCGTCTTCACACTAAATGTTATAATCTAAAACATAGAAATACTAAGACAAGTAATTTGTCTCTGTTAAAAACCATGAGTTCTGAAAAGATCACGCAAAGGCGTAAACATGTCTCTTTAAACATAAAAACTATCGAACTTATTATTTCATGTATGATCGCTAATATTTTGTTAGTGGAGACACCGTCAAATCAATAGCGAACACAACATATTTTGCATAGGTAAAACTATATAGAAAAAACTATAATATCAGAGTAAATGCACACATAGCTTCGACTAGTTCTGAACTAGTGAATTCACTAGTCCCCAGGTGTATAGTACTAGTCGCTTCATAATCCACTTTACGTGGGCTCAACTGGTGAATTTTACATTGAGTTGTCATTGCCGATGTCAATTGTCCCCATACGATACACCTCGGAACCAGTCTTTTCACTAGTTCATAAGGGGTAGAATTATGTCAATCGTTGAACAATTGTTTGTTATTATATACGAGTAGTATATGTAATATACGCACTTCCTAAATGAGTTTGTATGCGAGGGTAAGTCAGGCATTATTGTTGATGGCGATGCACAGACTTTGTTGTTGTGCTTTTTTTCGTAATATATATGCTTAGCTTTGTGTGCATAAAATGCACAAGTCCTTTCAAATTATTTTAAATTTGATTATTTATGAAATTTTATACCGACTTTATACAAATATATGAAGTTTGTGTATTATAGGGTGAATAAGCACCGGCAGTAGCGCAACTATAGTTGTTGTTAGTGTAAATGCATTAATATATTCGGTAGTGAAGACACTGCTACTGCCTATAGTATCAGTGGTATCTTGAAGTGTATTAATTAACACCAGTTATTTAATAATTAATTATGTAAAGGACATCTGACGGATTTTTTCTTGAAAGATAATCTACATTAAAGTTTTTGATTTTTGTGAACTGTTCTGAGTACATATTAAGTATTGTGTATACTTTTGACGTAAATTCCATACATTTTGTGCAGTTAATTTTTTTTTTAAAAGATTTTGTTAACGCCGTAACCTACAAAGTATCTCTGTACTAGTAAAAGGATATCCCTGTTGGAGAAGTGGTCCTCGAATACATTGTCTTCAAGACAATCTTTTATACTGCGTCCGCATGTTTAAGAAAATTTGTAAAACAGTTGCTCTAAACATAAATGTAAATAGTCTCTATTTGCTTACGCTTTCATATGTACCGTTAACAGCAACGTATTTGAATTTTGTATGTCTCTTAATATTTTTGGATAATTATTTGTGTGCTTTGCTTTAGTTCAAATATAAAACAATAACAAAATGTTTACTAAAAATCCTTTCATACTAATTCCGCTAAAACACTAATTTTCATTTAATATACATATATACCTATATATATATATATATACATTTTATATATATAAAAACCAAATATTTTACATTTACACTTAGACTGAGTTGATGAAAAACGTCTTATCGGGGAATATAGGAAATAAGAAGCCATCTTTAGTAAAACTGTAATTTTGTCCCATAACTGCGATGATCAAAGGAAAACATCTTTGCGGAAGCATTTAGTTTTCCTAGATACCATTTTTGGTATTTACGCAATATTTTTTCAATACAGCTGCTTTTTCACTAAAATAATGCTTTTCAATTTACGAAAACAACAAGAAATCGAAAATTGTTTCAGATCTGAGAAACGCGTTGAGATCGTCTAAACAATCAAAACTTTCGGACTAAGAAAAAGGAAAATCAATTAAAAATAATTTTTATATATAAGTTCGTTTTATTTCATTTAAGATATGATAAGTAATAGTAATATTAAGTTAATTTTAATAACATTTAATTACAATTTTTAAATATTATATTTGTATTAACTTTTTATTCATTGTCTCTATTTCTATTCACATTTTTTAAAATTGAATTTATATTTATAAATAAATTTATAATTTAAAAAAATTATAAATTTAAAATTTAAAAAAATCATAAATTTAAAATTTAAAAAATTATTATATATTAAAGAGCACAAAAAAAGAGAAAAAACAAGAATTGGGTAAAAAAATTAAATGAGTAACTACGCTAAGAACGCACAAATTTCAATCGACATGGACCCACTCAGTCTTCGAGATATGTACCCAAAATGTCTTTGAAGACATTTGGCTACTTTTGTTCGAAAATGTTTGCGAAGACCATCACACATTTGGATTAGTTGGACTGCAGGCATGCATATATGTTTCCGAGAGTTTTTCGAAGACGGATCGATCCGTTTCCTACTGGTATAATTTGATGTATTATCATCATCAGATTGTTTTAAAATAAATTCTTTATCACTTACGTTCTTAATTTCATGAAATCTTGAATAATCAGATTTGCATTTGCTGTTGTTACGAAAGTTTGAATGCATGATAACCTTTATTGATACCAGTCTCGCTAAGTTTAGTTTTCCACGTAAGAAACAAGAACATGTTATATGTTTTTCAAAGATATTTTCAGATAATTTAAATATGGAATTAAGAGTAGAAACTGAACTATCTCGAAACACATGTAATGACTATTTTTAACAGAGAAAACAGTTTTAATAAAATTTATATATCTTTGATATCGATCACGTTTTCCATCTTCTTTTCTAGAAAATGGGCGTTTATGTACTTTGTCCAAAATACATTTAGAATTTAAACCGTCAAATATCTATATTATTTATGGTCTCTACAAATTCAACTGCTGCGGAGACAGCATTATTTACTCGTAAGTTTTCATTTATTTCAAATAATTTAACTCTATCATAATATTTTATAGCCTGTGCTACATATTTACTGATGAATATTTATCATCATCAGGCTGTTCAAAAACAAATTCTGCATGACCTACGTTTGTAATTTCCAGAAACATTGAATTTTCTGATTCGCATTTGCTGTTGTTACGAAAATTTGAATATATGATAACCTTCATTGATACCAGTCTCGCTAAGACGTGTTTTATTTCATTCATTGAGACAGTGTTGAGACAGGACATTGACCTTATTTTAAAAAACAAATTTTCTAAAGCCTCTTTGTTAAGCCTTCCAGGTAAGAAGTTTAAAATTGTTATGTTTTTTAAAAAGATTTTCGGATTATTGAAATTTGAAATTAAGAGTATAACTAAACCATTAAAACATTTATAATAATTATGTTTAGCAGGAAGAAGAGTATCAATGAAATTGGTATATCTTTGATATTCATTTTTCAGTTTGGAAACGCATATCTTAAGAATCTTCTTTTCTTCTGATTTTTTGTTTATTTTTTAGCTGGCTATATGTCATTTTTTTTCAATAAAAATTAAAAAATTCTTTATTGGTGTTTTTTAAATAATTCTATATTTCGACTCTCTTTGGGAGTCATCATCAAGGTCATATTCTACAAAGATAATTATGACAAGATTAATTTGGTTTACTTAACAAATAATATATACACAACGAACATACATTGTAAATATATTTATATATATATATATACAGTCAAACTTCCATAACTCGAACTTCTATAACTCGAATTTTCTATAACTCAAACCAAAAACAGTGCACCAAGGTTTTAGAGAGCAAATTACACACAATTCTGCTTCCATAACTCGAATTTCTCTATAATTCGAACAAAAATATTGTCACGTGCCAATAGGGATTTGTGAAAGTGCATTCTATAAGTTGAATTTTCGTTTTAAGTATGAATTCATTTTGGTGTTAGGAGAAGTCCCTTTTTCCAAACCAAATGTTTGATTTTTTTTTCTTATGTTGCTTCTTTGTGGAAATGCTAGTCGCTAGCAGCGTCGTTTAAAGTAGCTCTCTACTCTCTGCTACTCTCTGCTACAATTATATTGAGCTTGACAATAAAATTCGTACATCAATCTTTCCTACAGATGAAGATATTATTGAGCATTATAGCTTTGAATTAGTGGATCCGATTCTAAATCGGATTAGCCCTTGTGCATTAGCCCTCCAAGAATGAAGTAGAAGACTCATTCAAATTCTGAATTTTTATTTACAAACGAATGATACCCCAACTGATGACCACTATAACTTTATTATAACTTCTGTGTTGTACCTATTTGATTTTAAATAAATAAATAAATATCTTAAAATATAATTCTAGTTTCTTTCAAAAATAAAAAACAAATAAAAAAATTCTCTAACTCGAAGTCTCCATTTTTCAAATCTTTTCTTTGCAAAATTGGACTTCGAGTTATGGAAGTTTGACTGTATACTCGTATATATATATACAAATAAATATATAAATCAAATTTAAAAAACTCTTTTAATATATATTTAAGAAATATATATA